AGGGAGAGAGAGAGAGGGAGAGAGAGAGAGAAGTCCCAAGCGCTCTGCACCAGAGCACTCTACCTTGGACAGTTCCCGCGATCAAGCGGTCCGCGAAATGCCTCCCCATTTGCATTTGGCATCGTTGTCCGTGTTCGCAGAGAATACACCACTTTCGCCGCTCGAAACGACGAGATAAAGAAGACGCTTGATTATTGCTTCCATTGCAACCACGATTACTTTCACTCTACGAACAATGGCTTACAAGCGGAACTGCGCGTGTACACAGCGTTGCCTGGAGTGTCGTAGGGTGATTTCTTGTGCTCTTGCAGGGAATTATTATAGTTGCATGTCGAATCCTGCTCATTTCGCTCGTCGATGTCCGACAAGCTCGTCCAAGGCTCTCACTCTGGGGATCTCTGTTCAGAGTATTTCCAGGTTATTTTTTCGCTTCATTCTCTACTGGGAGTTACTTATGGGCTACTGATTGATGAATGAGCACCTAATACCCGTAGCGCTTGATCGCGGGAATTGTCTTTACGATCACCACTTCCATGTGATGAAACAAATCCTTTCGTGAGAAACTTCAGGAATCGGAACACTTCTATAATTGAGAATCTTGTTATCCCGTGGCCTGCCCAAACGACTTTTTCAGTGCCAAACGAGATATGCGTCAAAACAGGAATTGGATACTGGGAGCACTATTCAATTTGTGTAGATTGGGTTAGCAAGGAAGTTCCGAAGGACAAAATAGCTGCTTGGAAAGAAATTTTGACAACAACTAACCAAATCGCGTTTTCATTTGGAAACTCTCGGTGTGTATTGTTACCCATACCATAGACGACTGCGGCTACAGGGTAGCGTTAAGCCAAATGACCTTTTCGGAAATGGAAACCAAATTGAATTTGGGATGAATTTTGCAGTTCTTTCCAATCCAATACCACAAGTGCATAGGCAGCCTTATTCCACGCTTTTAACAAAGAAAATGACCGAAGGAACACAGCAACACGTCTGTTAGAGCGTGATCGTGGCTCAGTTCGGCGAGGGGGAGGGGCATTT